ATGAAATCCTTATACTGTTCATATATCTGAGGCCTTTTTAGAAGTGAATTTTCTAAAGATTATCTACGCATAGCTAATTGTCTGGAATCTCTAAGCTGAGAAGGTGGAGAGTGAAACGGTAATTTCACAGTATATACCCCACTTTCCTCTCTCGTATATGTAGATCTGAAATAATCTTCACATGCTCTCTCCGATTTAGTAAGCATGTCAAAAGTAGGTACAGCACCCAATTTCCAAAAGTCAGACAGCATCTGATCAGTTTCCACTTGTATATTATTAACATAGATAGTAGGATTAATTTCTGTTGAATTATTCACACTACCTGAAATAATCCATCCTAGTTCAGAACGAGAAGCTACCGGTTTACCTTCTTCGCATTTAATTATTTCTCTCTTTAAAAGAGGTAAGGCAATATCTACGCCTAAAAGTATATCAACAAACCCACTTTTGTAAAATGTTGGATCTGCTAACATTAAATCATTATATTCCTCAACGTACTTCTTATCCAATGTAAAATGCGGCAAGGTTCCAATAATAATTCTATTGATGATAAATACTGGTGTTTTGAAATGACACTTTCGCCGGAAAATGCGGAACGAAGTTTATTTCCGCAATTCCATTAGTTTTCGTATCCAAAGACCCTAAACATGAAATAAAAACTTTGGCACTTCTTTCTTGCTAACCCTAGCCTTTGTACACAATCTTCTGAAATCAGGCTTGCTTGACTGCCAGGGTCAAGGAGGGCTCTACACAATTGGTATTCACCCGATGAATCTAACACTTTAATAACAGCCGTACATAATAAAACTTCACTCTGAAAATTAAAGTCTGAAACACAAGATTTAATTACTGGACCAGAACTTGTGATATTCTCCCCTGACCCAGCTGATTAAGCGCAAGGTTCTGGCCCAGGGAAAAATGGCTTATAGCCGTCACTGATAATTCATTCGAACTGTTCGTAACTCCTTTACGTGCCTTTGGTTCATTTTGAACTCTTTCGAAATGCAGTAGTGTGTGATGATTTTTAAAGCACTTTTTACATTTATGTGTACTTCTACACTCGAAAGCTTTATGATTTGAAACCAAACAATTAAAACAAACATTATTTCTCTTGACAAAATTAACGCGTTCCTGAACATTCAGATTTAAAAACTTATTACATTTAAAAACTGAATGACCGGCTTTACAATACGTACACTGCACGCGAATCTCTGAAGCCAATGAAGTTCATTTGTCTTTTGTAACTTGTTTTTTAAAACTTTGCGTTTTACCTGCTTGCAAGGTTCTGGCATAAGATTTCAAGAACTCTAGCAGATTATTAAGTGTTGGTATTTCCTCACTCTTTAATGTTCTTTCCCACCATCTTCTCGTCGAAGAATCCAATTTAAACTGTACTATTAACATTAAAATAGTATCCGCGAATTGCTCCACTTTGAATCCTAGACTTTCAAACGAACATACACACTCTCTTGCAGTGTCTACTAACGCTAATATCTGACTAGGAATTTCAGCTTGTAAATTTCATAAATACAAGATTTTCTTTAATAACGATGAAAGTAATTCTCTCTTATGTGAAAATCTTTGATACAATAAATGCCACGCTATTTCGAAATTCCTGTCACAAATAGTTAAAGCTTGAACAATCCACAAAGCATCTCCTTTTAAAGAACCCTTTAAATATTGTAGCTTTTGTGCACCTGATAAACGGTCATTATCCACTATCGCCGTTTTAAATAAATCAAAAAATTATAACCATTCTTCAGTACTGCCACTAAATACAGAAAGAGTTAGCTTAGGTAAGCGTATACTCGCTATTTCACAAGATTTAGTTTCCACACTAATGTCTTTAACATTCTTAACTCTGGCTAGCATTAAAATTAACTCATCAACAGTATCTTGTATGACCTGTTGTTCTTCTATAAATACATCAATATCTTTTTCTTCACAAACTACAAATATGTTACTAAAAATATCCGAAAGTTCGGTCATTAAATTATTTAATCTAGATTTAAAAAGTTCTAACTGATCAACATCAGCAGAATCGTAAGTCACTGTAATTTTCTCTTTCAGTTTACTTAACTTAGCTTTAGCTACACGCTTTTTAGTCTTAAGTGTTGTAAATTCCATTATCTAATAAGAAAGATAAAAAAACACACTGATCACCAAATTTACTGCGACTCCGTAGCCGACGGACCAACAAACATGTACGATCCGTTGTTAAAAATAGTGGACTGTAAATTGACTTGATATTACTTCAGTATAGAACCCAAGAAACCTCAGAGTCATAATGTCGACCGAAACTTCTTTATTGGCTTTCAAAAGTAGGTTGGTTGAGGAACGGCGAAGACCACACTGCAAACTCCGAACTCAGTAGCGGCTTACCAACACAAACTCAGAAGAACCTCTGCTTAGTTGAAACTCCAGTAATTCACAGCAACCTCAAAGCTCTAAACACGAGCTTTAAAAACCTAACAAATTTGCATCTGCGCCGCTCCTTGGTACAAAGAAAGAAATACAATTTGCATAACATCGAACAGGGCCTATCTTAGTAATCTTAGTCGGTCCGGAGGAAAACTACATTTCAGCCACACCTGCCTTCTTTTGTTCAATACTATATTCTCCACTGCTAGACTATGTAAGGGCGGATATTTTTATATTATTTTATTTATTTATTTTTTGGCTGGTGTTCCAGATATTAGATCATTTTAATATCTGAGCACTGGTTGTCTAGATTTTGGACATTATGCTGTATGTACATCATGTCAAAACTCATCTTTACATACACAAAAAATAAGGATATTCCATGAAACATCCAACTGACGAAATCCATTTTCACAGGGAACATGACAAAGAGAAGTCTAATTCACATTATTCAATCAAACAGTTTCTGGTATGCAAGTCAAGGAATTACGTCATTTGATGGTGCACAAGTTGAATATTTGAGTTAATTTCTGCAATGCAGTAATATTTTTTTTTTTTTTTAATTTTATATTAACATGACAGAACATTCAAGTTCTACCATATATTAAAACAGTAAATACTTATCAAGCCTCCGATATTTGTATTTCATTCAACTTCAATATTTTCAAAGATTTTAATGCTAGCATTCATAAAAGTAAGATAAAACACTTTTAATTTAAATTCACATCATGGCACTCTTTAATTCTACCATTTTAACAAATGACTTTACAGCTACATAAGGTTACACATAGTATTATGTAGACAATCTTCATTATTATATAAAAATTCTAAGTTTTAACATTACTTAAATAAAAATACAGCAAATGAAGATCATACGCAGCTTTCATTTCTCTGCATCTTAAATTCCTAATGACATCATATTCTCTTTACATAATTAGTATTCCATACATAAATAACTAGTAAAAGTCTGATTTCTCACAATAATCTGCAATTGTACGCAACGTTTCAAGCAGATTAAAGAATAGCAGTTACATGTAAGTACAATAGCCAAAACAATTTATTAAAATAATAAGATTAAAGTTACTTATCAGGTGCAAGTTTGCAATTTTCCTACTCACTTTAAAAAGACTGGAAAACATTACCAACATACCAAAAGAAAACAATTAGAAGGAAAAAATGATAATTAAAAACACATTTTAAAATTAACACAAAAATACAAATTAAAAATACACATATGATATATTAAATAATAGACACAATATACAATATACTGATGTTGTTCTCGCCATGTACATGGCAATTTGTTCTTTTATGTTTGAATAACGATCACTACAACAAAAATTTCAGCACGTTAGCATAGCGGTGGACCACAAAGTACAGTGTTTGCACTCTTTGATGAAATCTCAGATTCAGCTTTCTGAAAACATAGAGCACATTGTCACTCACTTAAACACATCATGCACCTCTCTTTTCCCTCTAATTTTAGGATTTTAGTGATGAGGTTATAATCAATGCCAAGACAGTGCAATTCTCTGATATCTTTTCAGCAAAAACAAATCTCTATATACACGGGGAGAACATAAAAAAAGGAAAAAAAAAAAAAAAAAAAAGAAAAGTGTGCATGTTTCACACAGAAAAAGAAAAATGTAAAAAATAGGCATTATTAGATGAATAATTGAAATAGACATAAAGCTATCCACATGTTTCTTACCAAAGTCATCAATAAGTTCTTGACTTTCTGGTGCATGTGCAGATAAACAGATAATTTAATTATTTTAGTAAGAGCAATTATATGTACCAAAAACAGCTTGGATGCAGATTTACATTATACCCACGTAGTTATATATGTGTGTATACGTGAATGTTTCCTTAAGGCACTTGTGGCTGAAAATGCTTTAAAACATATATCACATTCATATGGTTTCTCACCAGTATGGGTGAACAAATGTTGTTTTACAGATCCTTTCTCTGCAAACGTTTTGTTACATAGCTGGCATGCATATGGCTTTTCACCTGTATGGGTACGCATATGACGAACTAAGTTGGATTTCTCTGCAAAAGACTTGCTACATATACCACAATTATGTGGTTTCTCACCTGTGTGTGTACGCATATGTGGTTTTAACTCTGACTTATGGACAAATGTCTTGCAGCACACTATACATTTGTGTTGTTTCTTTTCCGAGTGATTACGTGTCATATGAGCTTTTAGGTATTGCTTAAGAGGAAATATCTTATTACATATTTCACACTCATATGATTTGTCTTCAGTATGGACAGACTTGTGCATCTTTAAGTTACACTTATACCCAAATGACTTGTTACATATATTACACACATAAGGTCTTTCACCGGTATGTGTATTCATATGTTCAGTAAGATGAAACATATGTGCAAAAGACTTGAAACAAACATCACATTTATATGGTTTCCCATTTTTGTGAGCATATAAATGTACATTTAAGCTATTCAGAGATGCAAATGACTTGTTGCACATAACACAGATGTGTGTTTTTTCTCTCCTATCAATTTCCATGTATTTTGTTTAATATATGTCAGTCCAAATGTTTTGCCATACATATTTCACTATAATTTTAATCATTGCGTTATACACTTGCATCTTCAGAGAATACATAAGTAGAAAAGATTTACAATTTTTTTCACATTCAGGTGGGTTTTCACTGAACATTATATAAATCTATTTTAATTTCACACTGGTGTGGAAAATGACTAGGAAAAATATGGAAATAAAGTTTTTCCCCCCTCTTTTTGGGAAGAAATCTACTTTCCTTTTACTACTTACTTTTTACTACACAAAAAAATCTACTTTCCTTCACATTCAGTTCTTTAGATAAGCTATGTCCAACTTTTGAAATCTTGAAGGCCAATTTAAGCTGTGCAGTGATGATGCAGGTGAGATGATATGTTACATTAAGTAAATCCTAGAATAACAAACGGTAGTTATTTGAAGATTCTTATAATGATAATTTCAAATAATCTTTCTAAACCATTTCAGAGCTAAAAATCATCGACACCAAATAACAGAAAACATTAAGAAATTTAAAATATAATTTACAAAAAACATTCATGTCTTTTAATCTTAAGGCTTAAAATATATAATGCAAGTACTGTGCACTCTTCCGCATAGAATGGCTTAAATCGGGCATTAATTTGTTAATATTTTCATTAAGTCCTGTAGATGGTTACAATAATGATAATATACAAAAATCTGGCAATCCTGTCAGTATTTTACATTTCAAAATTTCATATGCCTAACCGTGGGGTAAAGGACAAAACGCCATAGCCTGAATAGTCTCCCAAGTCACAAGTAGGCCATCACAGATTATATTTCTGTAAATGAGAATAATAAATATTTCTGATCCAAAATACTGAATGAAGAGATAAAATCACTCAACTAATTTACTGTGTTGTATCACCTTTAATCATATTTTACACACATTTTTATAAATGCGAGTTTCAATGCACAATGCAAAATTACATATTTAACCTTTATATGCAACAGAACCGGTAAATAAAAAATTGCATACATACTTAGACTTTGACACATGTTCCATTTCCTGTGTTATGGCTATAAATGCAAAATGTGTTCTTTCAACAGGAAAAGGAATTTTTCTTTACAGTTCAAGTTAAAAAATAAAATGGTACTTAAATATTATCCCATCAACCATTAAACTTTGGGCAAGGAGCGCAATTAAACACCAATTATGGAAAAGCATGAAATCACAACACACTCATAATATTTACACTTTCATTTGATAACCATGGATAACCAATGGTGATACAGCATGAAAAATTGTGAAAACAGTATATCTATTCGAGAAGGAACATGGTTCGATGGCTGCAGAATTACACTCCAGTTCATTTATAGCTTCTCAAGAGAGTTAACATCTGCTGAATAAGGAAAAAGTAGCTCGATGTGGCTGACAAAATAGTAACTGACTAGAGCTATTTATTGTGGAAGTTTGTACTCGAAACATTTTAAACAGAGCTTCCAGTAAAATTGGAAGGCCTAAGAAAATATAAGAAATTGAAAAAAAAAATTTTACGAAGAGAATGTAATCTTCTGCAGCAATGGCTCTTTGGTACACTGTGCAGAGACACTGATGAATTTTTTAGAGCTGCAGGATTGATCTGTTTTTCTGGTGAGATTTTTGCCAACTCCCACAATATACCAAAAAAATGTGAACATTGCTTTTTCACATATGCCATCTACTCAGTCTTCTGAATTGAAATATTTTGATGGTACTCTTCTGTTATCAAACTGGATTCAGAAACATGTGTATGTATATACAGTATACATACATATGTATGTACATATATACATGCATACATGAACATATATACTCATACATACATACATTTCTGAATCCAGGCCTAATAACAGAAGAGAGCCATTTTAATTATATGAATGCACAATTTGCCATGTTGATACACAATCATAATTAATGAGTCGTGTCAAACACTTCATTTACTTTACTTACCATTGAGCAACTTAACCTACTATGTATACAGCCATCTCCAAATTTTTATTTGCATACCATAGCTGCTAACTTAAATCTTAACTAAAATCTCAAAAAAAACGGGAGGCTCTCATGGTGCAGAGCTACACCATTTTAAAGGGACTCCCAACTGATTATAGAATGCTTCGTTCAGGTTATTGAACTATTTGTAATTCAATTTTGATGTTAAATACATTAGCACTTAATTGGATATTCTAAATTTTATGTTCTTTGGCAAATTTAATTTTTAAATTTTTTTACACTTTTATACTAAGAAAACACTGATAATTGAAGGAATGCTTTGATAATTCAAATATTAAAAGCTAATACAGTCAAAAGTCGTTAATTTGGACACCCATAATCCGGAATGATTTATAATCCGGACCTCAAAGCTACAAATTTTCTGCGCATGCGTCGCCTTTACGGCTGCGAATATGCATGTTCGCGTGTGCAAAATACGTTTACGAATGCGCGTTTAATGTATAACAGACAGTATAAACTAAGCTAAAATTACCTAATTAAGTTAATGTTTCAGATTGCGTTGTTCCTTAATCTTCGAATTGGATTTGGCTTATTATTTTTGGCAGACTGTTAGAGCAATTTTATAAAAGTAAGCTTGAACTTTCGATTATGTCAAATAGAATTTCTGATATATATTTTCTAATATGTAAAGGATCTACAAAGCGAAAGTATGTTTCGAAGTCCATTAAACAAAAAGTGGAATAGCTGCAAAAATTGCTAAAGGCATATCCTTTGTTTATCTAAACTTTGTTTATCTTTAACGCCGCAGCGCGCAATAAATTGAAGTTGATCGGTCAGCACTATCCTTATCTTCAGGGCAGATGTTTTTATTTTATTTGGCTTATAATTCCTTACTAAATGTAGTGTTTCATCTCGATGTACTCCGTCTTTGATATGATTTAAATCAAATTCCTCATCATTATAATTCGCTTCCGATAGCGAAGAAAGTGACAGAGTTTATTGAAAACGAAAAAATTTCGATTGACAAATTAGTTGGTATTCTCGACACAGCAATTATAGGACTTGAACAGCGGAACTTTGTAACTGAAGAAGAAATTATGTCTGTTTATAGAATTAAAGAGAATGTATTATCACATAAAAAACGAAGCAACTTAAACAACTTACACTGAAAGAAATGTTTAATAAAGTAAACAAATAAATATTAAGCTTTTTTTTTTGTAAATTTTGATACCCTTTAGATCATAATTGTTCTTTATTTCATAAATTACAGTTTCATATTTTTAATTTTATAATTTCTGCATGCCATCTTAACAGATTTAAACTGATGATGTATAATCTGGAAAAATTGATAATCCGGAATCGCCGAAGTCCCCACGAGTCCGGATTAACGACTTTTGACTGTATTATTTTGTGGGTAAACTTAGCAATGTATTATATACTGAAGCAAACAAAGTTGAATACAAATATAAACTGATTAACTGCTTGTTAAACCAAACATACCGTTTAAGTTTGGGCAAACTTGTAGGCAAAGGTAATATGAATGCAAGATCTTTGACATATCCCCCAAAGGAAGAAGTCACAAGAGGTTGAGTCAGGTGACCTGTGCTGCCATCTACTGCAAAAAGACACACCTATTACAAAAGGACTGTGATACAATATAAAAATCTAACATTTTCCCTTTACGATGACATATTAATTATAATTTTCTATTTGTAATTATGAAAAATATTAAATTTTGTAATTGGATGATTCTTTCCTGATAATCCTGTATATTAACTTCATAAGCTTTAATTTTTTTCAGAGTTTCACCCCTTCCCTCCCCGCACCAGAACTCTCCTTATAACATATTATTTTAATGTTTTGTGCTACAATATGCAGTGCTCTTAAATTTTGTCCTTTGTATTTATGTTTTATGAAGTTATATATCATTCCCCACAACTTCTTTAAATTATAATTTAGTGTTTCTGAGAAATATGTGATTTCATGCATGTAAACATAATTTTGAAGATAAGTATATTACATGAATAAGGAGACAAAATATTCTGTATCCATAAACATAGGCAGAAAATTATAAAGCATCAAATTGCAAAGTTAGGTTCATGTCCAGCAAATGATTTCAAAATTTGTTTCGGTGATGCATAAAGTTGAGGAAGTGGAGCTTCGTGATGTCACAAAAAAAGGTGGGAGTAAGGCTTGTGACATCCCAATGTACTTTCACACTTTATACTATGCATAGTTTACTAATTTCAATTGAAAATAACAATAATCAATTGTTTATTTTTCTAAATTAATACATTCTTTATTTTAAATTTACATTTCTAATAATTAAGCTTTGGTTTTACTGAAAATAATCACAAACTGCTTGTATCAAATTAACAGAACAATTCAGTTCGAATGTTGTTTAAATGGAAAACACATCACAGTCTCCCATATTTTTATTTCATACAACTTCAATATTTTCAAAGACTTTTACATTTTCACATTTATAAAAATAAGACAAAACATTTTAAATTTGAATCCACATGATGGAACACTTTAATTCTACCATTTCAAAAAATGACTTTACTGCTACACATCATCACAATCTCTTAGATACCACTAAATAGACAATATATGGGCTAAAGTGCAGAATCGCCCACTTATTTGTTTGGCGCTTTTTAAAAGAATTGGATTTTGGTTAATTTTCTTTGACTTTTAAAGTGAAAAATAGGTCGATGTGTACATGGATAAAGGGAGGGCGCAATGCCATTTTTGTGCAATTCTAAGATGTTTTTTTAAGTGAAAATAGGTCGACATGTACATAGATACCAAGTATGTGCAATTCTTAAAAACATGCCAACCAGTGGACGATTCTGCATTTTCCCCAATATTTGTAACTACGACAAAAATTAAGCTTTAACTTTGATGAAAAAAAAAAAAGAAAAAATATTTTTCATGGCAAATGAACATCACACACAGCTTTCATTTTCCTGTTTCCTACATAATTTACTTAGTTATAAATTACATCATATTCTCTTTATGCATATTAGTATTCCATATATCAATAACTAAGAAAAATATGATTTCTTAAAATAACAAAAATAAAAACTACAAATTTGGAATAATATGCAGTGTTTCGAGAAGAAAGTAAAATGATACTGGAATAACAATAGCAAATAAAATATATTAAAATAATAATGTAAAAGCTACTTTGGGATGCAACTCTGCAATTTTCCAAGTTCTTTTAAAAAGATCATCAACGTATCAACATTTATTGTAAGTAGGTAAAACATATCAACAGGAAAAGGAAACAATTAGAAATACAAAAATGATGATTAAAAACACATTTTAAAATTAATACTAAATTTCAAATTCAAAATACACAATTGATATATTATACACTACACATAATATGCAATATACTGTTATTATCCCCCGGCAAAAAGCAGTCTATTCTTTTATTGTTTTTTTGAAACAGGTATGCATGTAGGATCCCCATCAGATGGCTTTCCACTTCTCGGCATATTTTTCCCAGTGTGAATGCAAATTACAAACCCTTAATGGACATTTCAACATTTTATCATACTGAAGCTCCACAAACTGCAGATTTTGCTCAGTTTAGTAGAATATATGAATTTGTTATCTGGACACACAGAGCCAAATTTGATTCCCTTAAAGTCATTATGCACCTTTCTTTTCCTTCTCATTTCAGGGTTGTGGTGCTAAGGTTACATAAGATGCCAAGTTTGCGCAATTTTCTAATTTTTAATTTAGCACAAATAGATTGATGTTTTAGTAGGAAGAACAACATTGCAAAAAATCAAAAAGTGTGCATGTGTTACATACAGAAAGAAGAATGCAAAAAATTAAGTTCAACAATGATCACAGAAGACAACAGATGCCAGTTGCTGTCTGAAACAAATCAAAAACAAACAAACAAATCAACATATCTGAAACAAATCAACATATGTGATAAATTTTTTGAAGATGATCACGTTGAAATCGATGAATTCCCTATAAATGCCGATATGAGAGATACCCTCTGAATATTAAGATTAGAAGTACAGCATCGCCCAAAATATTTCTATAAACATGAACAGTTGACATATGAACTTTACTGTAACACTTGCAGACATTTAATAAGTATGGCATTTTTTTCCGATTAAAATGCTGTGAAAGTAATTTATGTTTCTAGGTGTGTTTATATTAAAACAATATTTCACTGTTTTTTTTTTTTTTCCTTCATCATTTACTGTATCGAAATAGATGTGGACGAAGGTGATATTAGTGTCGCCTACTGTGCTCTTCTTACTCACGCACATACAGTGGTTCCCAAAAGTGTTCATACACTTATGATTTTCATTGAAATAGGGATCTATCCATTAATTAAAAGAAAACATTTTGAATGAGATTTTAATAATAATAAAATCTATTCGTAATAAAATAACATGAAATATTTTTAAAATATAGCGAAACTTTATTTTTAAAAAAATTAATAATCAAAAAATGACAAACCTTTTATCTCACAAAAAGTCTTTGTACACTTCAAAAAAATCTTGATATATTAATAAATATTCTTTTCTTGTTAAATTAATATTTAGTAGGATATCCTTTAGCATTTACAACAGCTTTTAAATGCCTGGGAATAGGTTTTTTACTAGTTTTTTTTTTTTTTTTTTTTTTTTGTAATTTCTGTATCAATGTTCATTTATTCTTCCATCATGACTGTTTTGAGTTCGCTTTTCGTTTTGATTTCGTGTTTTCGTACTTTAACCTCCAATTCTTTCCAAATGTGTTCTATGGGGTTTTAATCTGGTGACTGAGATTTTCAAAACCTGTAGACAATTATAAAGACACCACAGGCGAACATTGTGAGTCGTATGCTTAGGATCGTTATCATGATTAAAAATAAAGTTTTTTCTAATACCCAAATTTTGGGCTGATAATTTTCAATTGTCTTTTAAAATATTTAAATAAAGAGAATGATTCATTATGCCATCAATAAATACCAAATTACCTAGTCCTAATGCTGCCATGCACTCTCACACAAGAACACCTACACTGCTATGCTTAACTGTTCCAACTAAGTTCTTAGAATGAAGCAAATGAAAGCCTAAGCTTTCTGTTTTTCTCACTAAAAAAATTTTTTTACGGGCAGAACGCCCATGTAATCCAGCTTCTCTGAGAACTCATCGAACAGTTTCAAGTGAAATTGAAGAAACATTTTGCATTAAATTCTGAAGGAACTTTTGCAGCACTCAAACATCGGTTTTTCACAAATTTTCTAAAAATAAATCTCTTATCATATTTAGTTAACTTTCTCGGTCGACCTTTTCTTACCTTGTTTTCAATCCAATTTTCTTTTTTAAAGCATTTTATCATATACTGCACTGTAGAATGGGATAAATTAACTAATTTAGCGATATTTCGAATTGATTTACCAATGCTATGCTGAAAAATTATCAGTTTTCGAATGCTGTTTGTAATTTCTTTACCACTGCAACCCATTTTTCATTAATAAATAGAATATTATGAAGTAAACAATAAAAAGTTAAAGCAAACGAATTTTTTTAAATGCCGAACAATGCAAAAATTAAGAAAAGCGGCAAATGATAATTCTAATTTTGATTCTATCAAAAATATTTCAGTGTATGAAGACTTTTGTGAGATAAAATGTTTGTCATTTTTTTAATTATTAAGTTCCTAAAAATAAAGATTCTCTATATTTTAAGTAATTTTCTTACGAATAGATTATAGATCTTATTATTAAAATCTCATTCAGAAAGTTTACTTTTAATTAATAGATAAAGCACTATTTCAATGAAAGTCAGAAGTGTACGAACACTTTTGGGAGCCACTGTATATACATGTCTCTAGTTAAGATTTAATGGACATATTTCTTGTCGATATAAATATTTCATTCATATTTGACACTTGTAATGTAACAGAACTAGTAAATAAATTGCATGTATATTTAGACTTCCAAAGATATTGAATAAATAATATTCAGGCTGAAAATGTATTTTTTTGGCAGCAAAATGAGTTTTTTTTTTTTTTTTTTTTTTTTTAAGATTTCAAGGTAAAAAGAAAAACGGAGGAAAAAAATTGACGCCAGCATAGTTTATTTAATTGAATAATTTTATGCATGCAAAATTTTCCATATGCAGGGGAACAATTAATCAATGAATCAAGTCAGATCCGTCATTTACTGTACTTACCGCATTAAGTCACGTAACCTACTGTATATTACATGAAAATAAAATATTCCGTATCCAGAGGATACGCAACATGTTATTAAACATTGCATTAATCCCAGTATACGGTGCACACAAGATTTGGCGGCAATCGGAAGGCGATTTCTTTTTTAAGTTGTTGATTATCTAACTATTTCACATTCATGAGCGTGTTTCATTTTCATTTTAGCGACTTATAATTGCGATAATAATGATATACAGTCAAACGTCGTTAATCCGGACTCGTCGGGACTTCGGCGATTCCGGATTATCTTTTTTTCGGATTATAGATCATCAGTTTTAAATCTGGTAAGATGGCATGCAGAAATTATAAAATTAAAAATATGAAACCGTAATTTATGAAATAAAGAACAATTATGATCTAAAGGATATCAAAATTTACAAAAAAAAAAAAAAAAAAAAAAAGCTTAATATTGTTTGTTACTTATTAAACATTTTTCAATGTAAGTTGCAAGGTTCTTTAATATACTAAGGTTAGGCCAGGAACGGAAAAAGCGTGCCATTGGTTGCTGGTAGTGACGTCACCCGGGAGACAAGACGCATCGGCCGACGCGTCTGCTACATGATTTTGGTAATGGAAAAAAATGTAAACTAAAGCAAAAATGATCATTTTATATGTGGTAGATACACCGGAAATACCGGGTATATACTTTCCGATTAAGTATTTTGTTAAAGAAAATGTTTATTTTATGCACAGAATTCGTACGAATGCTGAAAATAATTGTAAACATTAAATTCTTTTCGTAAAGGAAAGCATTAGAAAATGAAAAACGATATTTAAGTTAATTAAGGGAAATAAATATTGTAAAACAAGGTATTTTTCAATATTTTTTCGTAGTATTGTTTGCACTAAATAAATCTTGTTGAACAGAACACATGATGGCATAACTGCTAAGACCATGGTAAAAAAATAATCAAAAAGTATTATTCTATTTATTTTCATTGCTCATGCACTTTTTTTAATACAAATGAACTTTGACATTCCATGAGAAATATATGATCGTGATTTTCAGTTTAAATTACATATCTCAAGCAAAAATATATATAAAAAGATTTGACTTAACAAATTCATATTTAAATACCATAAAATTCTACAAATTTCTTAATATCCGTCATTATACTTTTAAATAGTATACTTATCACATTCTTTTTAAAGTGAAAAGTCACTTCATACTGATTCACTTCAGATTTTAGCAGAAGTGCATATATTTTCAGTATAATCTAAAAGTACTCTTATAATCCCTTACACTCCCAAGATTTCTATATAACATTTATCCTGACGTGATTATTTGCTATAGTAAATAATCTTCGATATTGGCATCCTATTCTTCCTTCCATACATTAAAAATGGAACAATTAAAATACATTTTCTTACACATATACGCACAATAATAATAATAATAAACTTGCCCTACATCTTAGTTTCGGCCCACCAGCGGCCGAGCGGTAAAGTCGCTGAACACTGGTAGTTCGGTCCGAATCCCGCGAACGGGCTGGCTGCATGGGTGTTTTCGTGGTTTTCCTCATGCGTAACGTGTATACGAGCCAGTTTCCCTGAGAAAGTCCTCCACGAAGGCATCACACACCTATTACGCAGATAGCCCTAGTGTGCTTTGCCATAATTAAATACACCACCACATCTTAATTTCAATTCAGCCTGTACACAAATTAAATATTTTTAATTACTAATGTATTTTTATCAGGTTGTTTCTTAAAATACTTTTGTTATACTCGAAATATGTGTTCAATATTGAATTATTTTTCTTTCTCTTATAATTAAAAACAAGTTATATGGAATCAAAATTAAAACATATGCAGCAGTTAAATAACACTGAACAGAATATCTTACTTACTCTTTCGCTATTTGTATTCTAGCATTATACACAGATTTGTTTTCCTTCAGGTTCAAGCATGTGTAAGTTATATCAATTAAATTACATCACACATACCTGTATGCATCAGTTAAATAACACTGAAGGAAATATGTCACTCACTCATTCGATGTTTGCATCATAGTGTGGTCGAGAAATTGTTCTTTCCTCACGGTGAGGCATGTATCAGTTTACTTAGTTCGCAAAGCTTAACCCAGACGCTGCTTCAATACATAGAATTACGTTTGGGATGTAAAGAAAGTAACCAAAACATGTGAATGAAGTTGGATACGCGAATTTATTAACTAATCATTCAGGTACTCAGTATTGGTAAACATGACACTGAGTTTAAATATCTCACTACGATGTAAGTCTCATACACAAAATGAAGATTATGATAAAAAATGATTTAAAATGAGAAATTTTTCAATTTAAATGTAAAATAGCAGTAAAATGAAAAATAAATGTAAAATTACATCACAGTTATGTATGAAAACTACATAAATTCATTAAAAAATAGTTATTTTATCTGGTTGTAAAGAGTGTTTTCCGCCAAAAAACGTATTAACGTGTATAATTCTGACACAACGCTATAGCACAATTTGCCACTTCCGCCTAGGTATAATAGCAAATTAACAACACAAATCAAATCAAACTGTTGATGCAACGAAAGTAAACAAACGCCAAGAACTAACGCTGTCACCCACATGACGTCATGCGTATGTGGCATAACTTTCTCCCTGCACTGCGCATCGCACTTGGGCCGTAATTTATGAAATAAAGAACAGTTATGATCTAAAGGGTATCAAAATAAAAAGAAAAGCTTAATATTATTTTTTACTATTAAACATTCTTTCAAAGTAATGTTTAGTGCTCTCTTATGTGAAACTCTCTAATTCTATAACAGACATAATTTCTTGTTCAGTTACAAAGTTCCGCTGTTCAAGTCCTATAATTGCTGTGTCTACCGACTAATTTGTCAATCGAAATTTTTTCATTTTCAATAACCTCTGTCACTTTCTTTGCTATCGAAAGCGAATTATAATGACGAGGAATTTGATTTAAATCATACTACATTTAATAATCAATACTACATTTAATAAGGAATAAGCCAAATAAAATAAAAACATCTGCTCTGAAGATAAGGATAGTGCTGACAGATCAACTTCCAATTCATAGCACGGCGTTAAAGATAAACAAAGTTTAGATAAACAAACGTTAAAGTTTAGATAATCAAAGGATATGCCTTTATGCATTTTTTGTAGCAATTCCACTTTTTGTTTAATGAACTTCGAAACATACTTTCGCTTTGTACATCATTTACATATTAATAAATATATATCAGAAATTCTGTTTGACATAATCGAAAGTTCAAGCTTACTTTTATAAAATTGCTCTAACAGTCTGCAAAAAATAATAAGCCGGATCCAATTCGAAGATTAAGGAACAACGCAATCTGCAACATTAACTGAAATAGATAATTAAATAATTTTAGCTTAGCTTATACCGTCCGTTATACATTAAACGGGCATGCATAAACGTATATGCGCATAATAGCTTTGCGCAATTGCGTTTACGCATGCACCGAAAGTTTGTAGCTTTAAGGTCCGGATTATAGATCATTCCGGATTATGGATGTCCGGATTAAAGTCTTTTGACTGTGTCATAAAACTATGGAACATGACAAAAAATTAATCATTATTAATAGGAAGAGTTGTAAGGTATTTCTTTCTCTTTAAGGCGGTCCTTAGTGGTATAATCGGAAGCACACCCCACTAGCAATCAGAGGGCCGGAGTTCGAAACTCTGCGAGGACAACACATATTTTTCCTGACTGTTGGCTCCCGAACTAAAATATGGTAGACTGTAATTTGTCAATATCAGGATTTAGCAAATGTGTCTCCACCTTCCTAGTCGCCCTTGAAATGGGAGAGAATGTAAGGAATTTTTTCCTTTATTGCCGAGCGCCTTCGTGGTGTAATTGGAAATAAATCCTGCTAGCAATTGGAAATTAGGCTAGTGTGTTGCATCTTTTTCATATCCTGCCTAGGCAAAGGTGTAGAGGAGGGGCAGAACATACAGGCCACTGATTAAGGGGTTGCCTCCGAAAAACCTTGATTTTTTAAGCATATGTTGAAAAGGACGAAGCTAAAAAGTTGTCTGTATTGCGAGAATCAGTTCCTAACTTACATTGTGCCGCTTAAGATTTTTTTACAGTGTATGTTTCAAGTTGCTCCTTGCTAGAAAAGTTTAACGAAGTTGAAGTTGATTAAAAGCTATTCTTCCATCAACTATGTGCTAAGATTTAAATGGTTTGGCAGTCATTTGCATTGAAAATAAAATACAGTAGCTAAAAAGCATTAATGAATTTTTGACGAAGCTATAAACAAATTTTCAGAAGTCAAAACTCACATTAAAAACAGTTATAGTTTTTTTTTTATTATTCACAGAAAATTTAACATTTTTTTTTAAATCATCATAAAAATGGCTGCTGATTAATAAGACTTTTTTTAATATAAATTTATCTGCTTAATGTAAATTATTTTTTCCACCTTAATCTTAAAACTTTTGTTTTCCAAATCAATTCAAATATTTAATTTTTATTTAAATAAATGTTATTTATATATTGTGTGTTGACATTTTATATGGTGCCCACCAGCGGTTATTAGTAATAAGGGGAACACTGGAGGGGTCCTAGTGAGATTTCCATCCTGAGCCTCAATAACTAGGTCTGGCTACTGCAGATAGGATTTTGCATGTTTGGCATATTTCTTGCTTTGACAAACCTAATGATTTTAGAAAATTACATTTTATGTTTGTACAGCTCTTCCATCCTTAGAACGGTCAATTTACTAATCATAAAAACCTATCTCAAACATTCTGTGCATGTGTATTTTTATATGTTATGTAAGCTAATAGGAAATATTTAATAATGGAAATTTCCCTCGTTCATAGTCAGTTTAGAATCCACAAAAGACAATAGGAGTGTTATAAATAATGTACATATCCGTACATGGTGGATAAAGAGCTTGACGCGTTTTACACGTCTCTTGAAAAACATTATGATACTATCAACACAGCACTTGCATCTAAATGTAATATGAACGGTGAGCTGCGTGAACATGCTAGGACGGCTTTGGGTGAGTTAAAATCTCTTATAATTAAAAATTTTGAAAGATTACAATCTGCTAATTATCGCGAAGCTTGTGTGGCAAGTTTGAAGACCTCTGTTATGAGACCTTCTTATGCTGAGGTGGTATCGCCATCTAGGGGAGAAAATGTAAACAAACAGTCAAATGACTGGGTAATTTGCTTGTTTCGGAGCTGCTGGATCAGAAAACTTTACGTCTGCTTGATGGATTGGAAAAACTTTACATCCCTTGATGTTAAAAAACTTTTGAAGGAAAAAATTAATCCGACAGAAAAGAAATTAGGTATAAAAAATATTAGGACGATTTCTAAT